TGCTGGACTCTTTAAAAAAATTTATATGGCATAGGGATTACATATGAAAATTATACAAGAATAGTGGGGGACAAAATGGAACATGGCTCCCACCAATATTTCCAGAGCCGTAGCTGATATTCCTGTTAATGATGTCTTTTTCCTCCACTGTCAATGTTTTGATGGAGCTAATGCTCCCTCTCATTGTAATTCCACTTCTTGTCACATCCTCCCCTTTGGTAAAGGACTGCCCTTAGGATGGACTCTTTTCTGTGAAAATACTACTTATTCTGCTCACTCTGAGGGATACAAAGGTTTATGTGAGATAGCACATGTTCACCCCATTTTACTCAGCAAATCTTCACAATCAAGTAATAGAGTCACAAGAGCTCTTCCTGAGAATTGCGATGATTCCTCACACCTGTTAGACCCCAACAGGGTTGCTGCTACTGCAGCTTTTCTATTACCCACCCCCGGGCTCATTGTCAGGTTACAAAGAGAAATCTCTAAACTAGCCTGATCAATTGCCAAACCTACTAATATTACAATATATTAGCCAAAGTGATCAAGAAATGTGAGAATCAAGAACAATAGTTCTACACAGTAGGGCTACCATAGACTAGCGGTTGCTTAAACATGATCTTGGTTGTCAGCAATTTACTGATATGTGCTGTTTTAATATCTCTGCTTTCTCTCATACTATTGATAACCAAATTGATAATCTACATAAAAAACAGATGAAATTTCTCAAACAAATTTTGACTGGCCAGCATGGCTAAGATGGTTCTCTCCCTTCACTGGTCCTCTAATATTTCTGCTGGTTATCATAATTGGGCCCTGGGTCTTCCAAGTGTTACCAACTTGATCACCCATCAAGTAAACAATGCTAGAACTATTGCCACCAGATGACATTATTAAAAACAGTCCCCTATTAAGGATTTGACAGGGACACATAAGTCAAGGAGGGAATGAGGAACCTGCCTGACTCCATTTTGAAGACAGGAACCATTTTGTTATTAATCAGTTTCCATTAAATGTAACAGCTGAGTTTCTGTTTTTAAGTTTCTGTTCCCTGGGACCTGACTGATTTGTTTGTAAGAACACACTGACTTTAATCCATGAAATTGGCCCCCACAGTCTCATAGGAAGTGGTGCTAACAGGAGGTGTGCCCTTGTTGGAGGAAGTGTGTCACTGGGGGTGGGCTTTGAGGTTTCAGATGCTCAAGCTAGGACCAGTGTGTCTCTCTTCCTGTTGCCTGCCAATCCAGATGTGGAACTCTCAGCTACCTCTCCAACACCATGTCTGTCTGTGTGCCCCCATACTTCCCTCCATGATGATAATGGACTAAACCTCTGAACTGTAAGCCAACTCCAGTTAAATGCTTTTCTTTGTAAGAGTTGCTGTGGTCATGGTGTCTTTGCACAGCAATGGAAATCCCAACTAAGACAACCACAATGGCTTGTTTTTGAGAACACCTAACCCTCTCTAATCAGTGACCACATGATGATGGCTGTTTTCCACTTGATGATTTTTCTTGAGATTTATTTTCCTGTACCTAAGAGCTCATTGCCTCACTTCTGTGAACCTGCTTTGCAGCTACTCATGATTGTACTCCTTAAAAGGGAAACACAAGGGCTGGAGAGATGGCTCAGAGGTTAAGAGCACTGGCTGCTCTTCCAGAGGTCCTGAGTTCAATTCCCAGCAACCACATGGTGGCTCACAACTATCTATAATGAGATCTAGTGCCTTCTTCTGGCCTGCAGACATACATGCAGGCGGAACACTGTATATAATAAATAAAAAGTGACTTATTAAAACAAAAAAAAAAAAACAAAAAAAAAACTTTCTTTTGCCGGGCGGTGGTGGCACACGCCTTTAATCCCAGCACTCGGGAGGCAGAGCCAGGCGGATCTCTGTGAGTTCGAGGCCAGCCTGGACTACCAAGTGAGTTCCAGGAAAGGCGCAAAGCTACACAGAGGAACCCTGTCTCGAAAAACCAAAAAAAAAAAAAAAAAAAAAAAAAAAAAAAAAAGGGAAACACAGTCAGCATTGCTCTCTCTAACCCAACTTACGATGCAGTCACTTGACCAGCTCTCAGATGCACCTGAACAGAATAAAGCTTGCTTCAATTTGGCCCAAAAATTGTGGTAGTGGTTTTATTCTCATCCAGTGGGATTAGCAGGACCACATCCCATGCAATATAAGGAAGTATACCTTTATTTCAGTTTTTCACCATCCCAGGACCCAAACACCAGGATACACCACCTGGTATGCTGGGTGCAAAGTCCAGAAGATCCCTATAAACACGGTTGACCCTACAGTGTTGTGCTACAAGCCCTTGCCAAGGTGCAGCTCACCCCACTTCCCCAAAGGGAAGTCCCTGGGGCTCACCCCAGATAAGCAGGCAGAGCAGGACCCAGACTAAAACAGCAGCACACAGGAAAGGCGCCAGCTAGCCCTGGGGCATGCCTCAGAATCCAAGCAGCAGCTGGGGGATGTCCATGCTTTGGCTATGGCGGGTCCCAGCTACAGAGCCATCCCAAAGGCAAGAACAGCCCCAAGTGTGGGCTTCTGGGGCAGGCCAACTGGCCGAGGTAGTATAAGGACATCTGAAAATGTGGAGTGCCCAGTGGCCGCGTCAGGTGCTTTAATGGGCTGGGAGTTGCCTGGGTCTAGGGACAACAGAGTGAGAGGCAGGGGATATTTGAGTCAGAGCTCTAAGATTGGCAGTTAGTAATCCGAGCCCGGTGGAAGGGTCCTCAGAAGTGAATGATACACAGAGAAAGGCAGGAGGAACAGGGCAAAGAGGGCTTTAGGATAGAGAAGAGAAGGACAGGGACAGAGAAGCGGGCAGGGGAACATGGAGGAGTGTGAAAGACAGAAAGGTCTGTGAGGAACCTTTTAACCTGTCTTCCCTTTCTCCCACTGCCTCTGTGAATTCTGGAGCAAGGGCCCACCCTCTAACCTCATCACATCTAGTCATCTGAGGCCATTACTGGCTGGCCTGGAAATGATGCTGAGCCAAAGCAGTCAGAGACCTGCCGAGCCTTGCTCACTCCTCCTCTAGCCTCAAGCTAAGTATGGACCTCAGTTCATCCCTCCCTTCTTCTGGGGTGCCCTGCCCCAGCCTGCCCAGGCTAGTCCTCCGTCCAGCACCTAAGCCAGGGTGACTCTTCCTTGGGACTTCCTGAATTACACACTAGTAGCTACTCCAGACCCCAGGCAGGAAAGGGAGGAATTGTGGGAGAGAACAGGAGGGAAGGAAGGACAGGGTTTTTGAGAGCAAATCCCCAGTCAGGTCCAAGGCCAGCAATTTGGAATCTGCCCTCCAACCCTGGGACCCAAGTACAGAGAAAGCTTTTATGAAAGACATTTAACAATGTAAATACATTTTTAAATTGTTGTGCAAGGGTGCACTTAAATCATTTTTGCTTTGTTTTCAGCTTTAACTCATCATTTATGAGCATAGTTAAAATTTTAAAATTGTACTAAATAGTCTACAGCAGCATCACTTAGCTAGCCAGAACTGAAAGTGTTGCACTTATTAAAAAAAAAATTGTTTTTGCCCTTAGGAAAGGGGAGGAAGCCATTAATCAATACTAAACAGAGGAGGAGGAGGAGGAGGAGGAGGAGGAGGAGGAGGAGGAGGAGGAAAGAGGAGGAGGGAGGAGGAGGACAAGGGAGGAGGAGGACAAGAGAGGAGGAGGAGGAAGAGGAGGAGGAGGAGGAGGAAGGGGAGGAGGAGGAGGAGGAGGGAAAAGCAGGCTCTAGAAGTATCTGTGATCTTAACATCCTAGGCTTAATGTCTACAGATGCCAGGCAGCGGCGTTCTCAAAAGAAACCTTGGTGTTTGCGGCAGTGGGGAGTAGTGAGGACCAGGAGAGCTGGAGGGGTGGCGCCCTGGATTAAAGTGACTGTGGCCAAGGGGTGATGCAAGCCCCATGTGGAGCTTTCAATTTCAGGAAAAGTGGGGAGTCTAGTATAGTCAGCCCTTTGTGTTTTCCAATGCCGCACCCACAGAAAATTCCCGAAAAGAAGCCTGGCTGCCTGTGACCAGGAAACTCTGGGAAGGAGTCTGTGTCTGCAGAGACTGACGGACCCATTGGAATTTCACTACTGTGGAGAGAATGGGGTTTTGTAGGTTCAGAGGCGAATTACTTTATCTTGGGCTAGTTCTAGCCTTCTGGAACATCCATTTCTTTTGCCCCACTCTGTATCCTAGCTAATACCTTGTGATAATAAATAAAAAACCTCTTAGAAGCTGTTAATTTAGCAGAATGCTCGTTTCCACCAATCCAAGAGCCAAGAATGTCATACAGTAGCATCTTGGGCCTGTAGACTAGCTCTCTCATCTCCTCGTACCCAGCGCTCTGGTACATCCACCAACGTATTTTAAAGTTGCCTTGATTCATGAATTTCTTCTTTCTGTAAAGCTATACAAACCCTATGAAACTGCTTCCGTGTTGGAGCATGGAGTTTGGGGTAACCAAAATCTGTGTTCCCAGGCCACGGTCCCTCAAAACGGCCCAGCACAGACTCTCTTACTTCCTTTGTGACGAGAGCTGTGGTTTTTCTGCGGACACAGCCAACCACGGATGTGTGCTGTGCAGTTAGGCCTAGGAAGGTGTATCCGCACTGAGCACATACTGCTTTCCTGTCATTATTCTCTACCGTATCTATTACAAATAACCTAGAATTTACTTAAAGCACACAGGATAAAATGCATAGGTACTATCTAAAAAGTTATATAAGGGACTTGAGAGCCAAGGATTTTGGTATCCACCAGAGTCCTTGAATTGGTACATTACAGATACTTAGCAGTAACTACATGTTTTGTTTTGTTTTTTTAATTTTTTAAAGAAAGTTAAGCCGGGCGGTGGTGGCACACGCCTTTAATCCCAGCACTCGGGAGGCAGAGGCAGGCGGATCTCTGTGAGTTCGAGGCCAGCCTGGTCTACAGAGCGAGATCCAGGAAAGGCGTAAAGCTACACAGAGAAACCCTGTCTCGAAAAACCAAAAAAAAGAAAGTTAAAATATTTTTAGATTGTTTAAAAATTATTTTACGTGTGTGGGTGTTTTGTTTGCATGTGTGTCTGTAAACCACATACATTCCCAGGGCCTGCAGAGGCCAAAAGAGGGTGTCAGATCCCCTAGAACTGGAGTTATCAACCATTGCTAGCCTCTGTGTGGGTCTTGGGAATCAAACCTTGATCCTCTGGAAAACCAACAAGTGTTCTTAACCACTGAGCTAACTCTCCAGCCCTAGATTATGCATTACATATATAACTATACACAGTTGTTTTTGTTTAGACAGGTTCTTACTGGCAGTCCTGGCTAGCTGGGAACTCATTGTGTATAGCAGACTAGCTTCAAACTCTCAGAGATCCATCTGTCTCTGCCTGTTCAGTGCTAGCATTGATGGTGTGTGTGTGCTACCACACCTGCCCCTGCCCCAGACTTGATACCGTGGGTGTAGGACTGAGGCTCTGTGTGCCTAACAGTCTCCCAGGTGATGCCAGTGCTGCTGGCATACCAGCTGTGCCTCTCTTAGTGAGGACTTATTTCATCTTTCAGACTCTGTCAACATCGTCTCCAGTTCCGTTTGCACATTGCCAGGTCCTGGACACTCACTACCTACTGGGTGTCTGCTGCCAACATCCTCCAGAATCTGTGCCAACGACAGAGACAGCAAGAGTCAAACTTGCCAAAGCCCAGGCATCGGCACCTCAGTGTTCCACAAAGGAAACTTCAGCTGGGGATTGGCCAGGACTAGGTGTGGACGTTGGCTGCAAAGACCTCAGGAGAAATTTGTTTTTTTCAACTACCAATTCACCAACACCCAGATGAGCAGATAATAAACTATCCATCTGCCATTATTCTGGCTAGCAAAGTTTGATGCAGCTGATTTCCCTCCCATGGAGCATCAAAGCAAGCTTTTCTCTGCACTTGGGCAAGTGATTTGGTTCTGCCCATTGGAGCAGGAGCCAGTTTCTTACCAGTGAGCGATGGAGAGTAGAGGGAATAAGATGGAGGTTAACAGAAGACCTGGTCTTTCCAGGCTGCATGATGACCCCTGCCCTGTAGAACATGAGGCCTCCATGCCCCTGGGGTTTCTGACCCCAGATCCCTGCTTCTGGTGTCTCACAGGACCCAGAGAGTGGAGAACCCTCCACTTCTGCAACCCCCAAAGAGCTCAGGGTCCTTGGAGCTGGAGCTGGAGGCCCTATGCCACAGTGTCCTGAGTCCCAAGGCCAGTCACTCTAAAGGCCACTGTAAGGGTCACAGCGTGGTGGAAACCACTTAGCCCCCCCTCATTCTACCACCAAGGGGAGCCTGAACAGCACTTCAGATCTTCCCAAGGTCACATTGCTGGTTTGCAGCAGACTCCTGGCTCAGAGTCCTTGGAGGCAGAAGTGGACAGAAGCCTCAGGCGTCAGTCCCAGGTACAGCAGCAACTTCAGAAAGGGCCTTGCAGGATAATCCTGAGGGAATAAGAGCTGTCTCAGAGAAGAAGAAAAGTGTGCAGAAGGAGGATCATGACCTAGAGATTCTTGTGTGAAGGCCACGGAGAGACCTTTAGCTCTGACAGAACTGCAAATACAACCTCACACAGACCTCTGGCAAATGCTATCCCACAGAAGTCTGTCATTGTGCAGTACAGCCTGAGGGGCCTCTCTCAGAAGCCTGGTTTATGGTCAGGGAAGGGGTGGGTCTGGGAAAAAACTCCTAAACCTGGATTCTGGGATCACTCCAGACCCACCAAATCAGTATGCCCGATGTTGGTGCTCCCTCTAGGGGAGATCCCTTTTCCGGGCTGAGGAATCAGCCCCTGCCCCCTAAACCAGAGAGGAACAGGGACACTTGGCTTGGGTGGGACATCCTGCAGGGAACTCCTACCTAGTCTTGACCTGACCCCTAGGAAGTACACCCCATCCTACCCCCCAGAAGTGAGCGGTCCCTGAGGATGAGGGGAGACACAGTACCTGTTCCCAGGGAGCCTCACTTCCCAGTGAACTGGCCCGGCCTGGCTTTCTCCAACTTCCTGAGCCTCTCTGGGGGGATCTCCTGCAGGCTGATGCCATGGTTGCTGGCCCTGCAGGGGGAGATTGCAGCCTCAGGGAAGAGAAACAGGGGTGAGGGACGGCAGGGCTTGGTGTGGGAGGCAGGAAGAAAGGATGAATGCACAAAGGGCCCACTGGCTGGCGCCACTGAGGCACCTGTCATGCCGCAGGTTCATGGCCGCCGCACCCCCACCCCCACCCCGCTTACCCTGGCTGCAGATCCGGTGGTTTGGGGATGGGCTTGTTGAAACCCTGTCTGCCCACAAGCCAGTACGTGTCCTCAGCACCCTTGCCCTGGGGGACACAAAGGAAGGGAGACTTAGGAAGACCAGGGTGAGGGATGGGGAATCTTTAGGTCTAGGTGAATCTGGGAGACCCTACATCTGTATGGACCCCCACAAAGTGGCAGACTGTGGTCCAGACTTACCTTCAGCTCTGTGCGGCCTCGCCGCTCCATCTGGAAGCCCTGGTCCAGAGCACAAAGAATCTGAACAGTGCTCATGTTCACGTGGATGCGGTAAGCTGAGGCAGCGAGGGAACACGTTGATCTCAGGATTCACCTCTCATCTCCATCCTGGGCCATTTCCCCAGCCTCTCCCCACCTCCCCCAGCTCTCCTTGTCCGTTACACTCACGTAGCCCCGTGGACTCCATTCGTGAGGCTGTGTTGACTGTGTCCCCAAACAGGCAGTACCGAGGCATGGTGAGGCCCACCACGCCAGCCACGCATGGACCTGGGGAAATATGCCAGGTCAGAGGGCAGGCAGGCAGAGATTGGGTCAAAGCTGGCGGTGCCCAGCAGCTAGACTGTGCAGAGGGCCTTGAGAGGCCTTAGCACCCACACTCTCTACCAACTCCCCCAATAAAAACGCTTTTGTGTATTTTCCTCAAGACAAGCCCCCACCCCACGCTACCCCCACCCCACGCTACCCCCAAACCACGCTACCCCCACCCCACTCTACCCCCACCCCACTCTACCCCCCACCCCACGCTACCCCCACGAAGGGTTTGCCTCCTACAGCAGAAATCTGGAGCCCAGAAGCCGGAAGGGCCAAGGGGTTACCTGAGTGCAGGCCAATGCGGATGCGCACTGGTACCTCAGGCATATGGCGCATGCGGAAAGAGCCTACCGCACTGAGGATGTCTAGTGACATGTTGGCAATCTCTGCGGCATGCCGCTGCCCATTCCTTTGTGGCAGCCCGGAGGCCACCATATAGGCATCGCCGATTGTTTCCACCTGAGGGACGGGGTTGTGTTGGTTCAGTTCTGAGCACCTTTCCCCCAATAACTCAAAGCAGTGTCACTTGTCGGGAGGTCTAAAGGGTTAGGACAGACATCCGGGAAGCCACACAGGGAGTTAGGAGTTGCACTTGGGCATGAAGGAAGAAATCTGTGACAGCAGGGCTGAGGAAAACCAGCTGGTGTCCTGAGGCAGGTGGAACTGCTTCATTTAAACGGAAACCCGGGACTCAGGAGGCAGAGGCAGGAGGATTGCTACAAGTCTGAGGCCAGCCTGGTCTACAAGCAAGTTCTAAGCCACCCAGGTATACCTAGAAAACAAAAGAATAGCTGGGCAGTGGTGGCGCACGCCTTTAATCCCAGCACTCGGGAGGCAGAGCCAGGCGGATCTTTGTGAGTTCGAGGCCAGCCTGGGCTACCAAGTGAGTTCCAGGAAAAAGGCGCAAAGCTACACAGAGAAACCCTGTCTCGAAAAAACCAAAAAAAATAAAAATAAAAATAAAAAAAGAAAAGAAAACCGAAGGGCAGGGGCTTATCTCTACCTTGTAGACATCGTGGGCCCCAATGATGGCGTCAAAGAGCGTATAGAGGTCATTGAGTAGGTCTACCACCTCAATGGGCTCACTCATGGCCGAAATGGTGGTGAAGCCCACGATGTCACTGAAGTAGAGCGTCACCTCTTCAAAGTACTCAGGCTCCACAGATGTCCCCATCTTCAGGGCCTCAGCCACAGATCTAGGAATGGCAAGCCGCAGGGTCACCTGGAGGCTACCCCAACCTGGCCACCTCTCCCCACACTCCTCTCCACAGGCACCCACGGAGGCAGCATCTGCGTGAGCAGCCTGTCTGTCTTCTGCTTCTCCTGCTCTAACTCCTCTGTGCGCTCTCGGATCAGGTCCTCCAGGTTACTGGAGTACTGCTCCAGCATCCGAAGCATGGAGTCGATAATGTTCGTCTTCCGGCCCTTGTTGATGCTCTTGAACTAGGAGGGGAGAAAACTAGTTTAAAAAAAAAATACCCAAGACTTGGACTGCATGGCCCTCTCCTGGACCCTCTCTCGGGGTACACATCTGAGCACCATTTACCTTCTACTCACGAAGCACCCCAGATTCCTGGACACTGTTTGTGGATATTATTACGGGGTATGTGGAAAAGGAGGGTTCCCACAGATAGCTGCTCTGAGTTGGAACTGACAAGGCACTGAACTCAGGCCCAGGGTTTTCCTGTCTCAGTAAACCAAGCACATATCTGGTTCTTATTCAATGTTGCTGATTTGGATTAAGTATTTCTCCCACCCAGAGTTCTCTTTCCCATCCCGAAGGCCTCCACAAGTCCTTGCATGCTTACTAATCCTTCCCTACCAAATCTGCAGTCGTTAGGTTAATCCTTAGGAGAGAGCCTAAAAGGTCAAAGATCCTGCTAGCCTGCTTGCCCAGGAACAGGATGCTGACAGGAATCTAGGATCCCAGGGGCCAGCCCAGTCCTTGCCCAGTCCCAGCTCCTGACCAGGTCAAAGGTGTGGTCCATTGAGGGCCGAAGTTCGGGCTGCTCTGCCCAGCACTGCGTCATCAGCTGGATGCACTCCATGGGTGCCTGGTCCATTGACACCAAGGGCCGACACAGAGGGGGAGGGCTCTGTACCCTCTGGATCACCTCTAGAGGCAAGAAGAAACCGTGAGAAGTGGGCAAACCCAAATACAACCCACCTCTCACTCTAGCCCAAGACAGGGGCACTAAAAGAGGGTCCCGTGTGATTCCAAGCTGCTCTCCAGCGTGCGATGTAGCTGAGGATGACCCCGAACTTCTCATTCTTCTACTTCCACTTCCCAAGCCTGGGACCACAGGCTTGTATGACCACACCCAGATTATGGGATGCTGGGAATTGAACTCAGGGCTTTGTGTACATTAGGCAAGTACTCTACCAACTGAGCTTCTTCCCAGCCAGAGAGGATTGTTTGTTTGTGTGTTTGTTTGTTTGTTTGTTTGTTTGTTTGTTTGTTTGAGATAGGGTTTCTCTGTGTAGCCCTGGCTGTCCTAGAACTCGCTCTGTAGACTAGGTTGGCCTCGAACTCACAGAGATCTGCCTGCCTCTGCCTCCCGAGTGCTGGGATTAAAGGCGTGCACCTGGCTAGGATTGTTTGAACTTTCAGGCCTTACGAGATGGCTCAGTCACTAAGTGTCTGACCTGCAAGCCAGAAGACCTGAGCTTGGATTTCCAGCAGCCACATTTAAAATAATTTTAAAAAGCCAGACACAGTGGCAATACCTGTAACCCTAGCACCAGGAAAGCAGACATGGGGCTTGCTGCTACCCGATATAGCTAACTGGTGAGTTCTAGGTTCAGTGAGAGACTGTCTTAAAAAATGAAGGGGAGAACGATTGAGGAAGACACCTGACACTGGCCCGTGGCCTCCATTTGCACACACACACACACACACACACACACACATGCACACACAACTGTCTGCACACATGGACACATACATACACTACACACAAATAAATAAGTAAAGAGACGCTTTAGCTGGCGGGGGAGTGTATGGGGGGGCGTCTCTAAGAGTAACTGGGGGCCCTTGAAATCTGAGTGTCGGTAAGAGGCGACAGAGACAAACTAATGTTACTGAGCATAAGAAACGGGTGAGAATCCTATAGATGATGAACGATTTGGATTTGAATGCAATGGGACCGTCCTCTGACCCCTCTGTTGTCCCTTCTGCCTTCCTAGGATCTCTGAGAATCAGAGAGGAGCCTGTCTGTGTGATGGAAGAGCAGGGTGGGTCCAGGGTCAGGACAGAAGCTGTTAAGATGTGTGCCCTGAAACACCCGCCTCATGCTTGGCTTGGCTTTCCCACTGCCGCTTTAGACCCCCCCAGCTTTAAGAAAGTCACCACAAGCTGGGCGATGGTGGCGCACGCCTTTAATCCCAGCACTCGGGAGGCAGAGGCAGGTGGATCTCTGTGAGTTCGAGGTCAGCCTGGTCTACAGAGTGAGATCCAGGAAAGGTGCAAAGCTACACAGAGAAACTCTGTCTCGAAAAGCCAAAAAAGAAAACCACCAGAAAGTGAAGTCTCACCACGGGGCTTCCCTTTATTAAAGAGCCAGGTCGGGTCTAGGCTGGCTGTTTTAACTGCAGGGTGCCTACCTGGCCTCAAGCCACCTTACCCTCGGGTGTGAGCCCCAGCATAGCATAGGGGGTGCTGCGGCACACGACCTCCTGCATGATGATGCCCAGGCTAAAGACATCCCCAGCTAGTGTTCCCCGTCGCTCCAGGGCTGGGTCCCGAAGCAGCTCTGGGGCTGTCCATAACTGATCTAGGAAGAAGAAAGAGGGACGTAGGCACGAGAGAGGCTGCCGTGGCCCCGAGGATCAGATCCTCATCCTCACTGATGCTATTTAATCCTACAACCCCTCAAATAGCTCAGAGTCCAGACTATTTGAGCCTTTCAGAGAAAAGCCTGCCCTCCCGAAGGCGGTGCCTAGGGAAGACTCCGCCTCCGGAGAGCCAAGCCTTCATGCAAAGCGCCACTTATCCACAGACCCGGAGTTCAGGCACTCCCTGGCAAGCCCCCACGTCTCAGCCACAGACCTTTTTTGTAGCTGCTTATTGTTGGTAGGTCTGGGATGTGAAGAGTGCGAGAAAGGGATGGAGGGAAAAGCACTTCAGACTATAGGGGATGCTCCAGTGCCAGGGGGGCAGCTGGGGACGCCTACCCTCCGCACTGGGAGGTTCCGGTAACACCCTTTGCGCTTCCAGCAGTCGCCCGTGGCCATGATCTGTCACCTTGAGCACGAACCTGCCGTCCACCACGCAGTTCCGAGACTTAAGCCTCCCGTGGGCCACACCGCGATGGTGCAGATACCTCATTCCCTTGGAAGGAGTGGAGGAAGAGGCAACCTCAGTTCCCCTGGTCCCCCACCATTCCGGTCAGCACGTCTCTACCTCCCGCAAACACACACAAGCGCGCGCGCACACACACACACACACACACACACACACACACACACACACACACACACACACACACCTTGATGAGGTCCAACAGGAGAGAAGACTTGAACATCCAGTCCAGCTTTATGTCTCTCTGGGCAAGGAGGTCATGGAGGGAGCCCCGAGCACAGTGCTCTGAGACCACAGCCAAGATGCCCTCCCCAGGGGCGGCAGGGCTGTCAGGTGTCCCCGCCAGGAATAGCCCCAGGTAGAGAACCACATTCTCATGCCGGAGCTCCCGCAGCTGAAAGGCAGAAACCAACGGGCGTTTTTGCTTTTGTTCTTGTTTTTGTTTTGCCCAGGAGGCAATGCACGGAGCACCCATTATTCCCCCCACCCCCACCTCCATTCAGTGAATGTTTAGGGGCAGCCAAACTGGGAATGTAGGGCTGAAAATGGTAGGTAAAATGGGGTGGAGGTGGGAGGACTTTCTTCTCTATGTAGTTCTGTTCAGATTATGAATGGCTAAGCTTAAAGTTATGAATGAAAAGACAGACACGTACTGGGGATTAGGACCCAGTCAGGTTCTGCTCTGCTAGCCATAAAGCTGAGGGACTAAATTAACTACAGAGTTAAGTGGAGTCGTAAAGGGAGAGCAACGCTCCACGCAGCCCTGTCGCCACCTGCTCCTTCTAATAGGGCAGTCTTTGATGGAGGACGAGACAGAGCACATGCTGCTGCTGCCTTCTAGCTTTCCCTGGGGCCACATGCCGGGTTCAGGGGGCTGCTTTTCATTTTAAACACCCGGTGTCAAATGGTGACTTCGTCCATACCCAGGAAGGCAACCCACTTAAGTCACTCACAGCTGGGACCACAAGCTCGCGAGGCTGCCTCCCGGAAAGAGGCCGAACCAAGGCTGCTTGCTTGGTGCTGGGGGGAGAGGGACATGACAGTCGAAAGCACCGGACTCAGTTCTTCCACTGCCTCCTTGTCAACGGCCCATTTTATTCACTGTCAGCACAGCGGGGACCACTCCACACAGGTGTTCTCACAGATGTGGAAACTCATTTCAATTTTTTTCTTTGAAAAAATGTTTATTGAGGTGTGTGTGCACATCTGCATGTGTGTGTGTCTGTGGGCATCTGTGTGTCACGGCACCCCTGTGGAGGTCAGAGGGCAACTTGCAGGAGTCAGCTCTTTCACTTCCACTAAGTGGGTTCTGGGGAACACATCCAGGTGACCAGGCTTGTCAGTCGGCACCTTGGTCCACTGAGCCGTCTCCATGGGGCCTCATTTTTATTTATTTATTTATTTAAAATCATTTCACTTCATACAGTTCTACTGGCCTCCGATATTCCAGACCCTGGGCTGGATGCAGGGAATAAGGTAACATCCTTATTCAGATTTCAGTCCATGATGGAGGCAGATAAGCCAGACCATAGCTGAATGTACAACTTTTGTGATAAACTGACATGTCACTTATCACATAGAAGTTGTGATAACATCAAAAAAAAAAGCTAATATCACAAGAGAGGATGATGGGAAGTCCTCTCCAGAGTGGAAGGAAACCTGAGAATTACCTCTGTAACCTGCTGCAAAAGGAAGCCAAGGATGGGCAGACCAAACCCCATGATGGGTTACCTTGGAGAAGGCTGTCTTGGTTGCTGGCCTGATGGCCATATGATGATCCCCTGGAAATTTCTTCAGCCAAACCCAGTCTCCCTGCAGCAGAAGGTTAAGGAATTCAGTCCATGAAGCCCCAAGATGCTCTAGGGCTCTCACATTTCCACTGGCCCAGTGACCCAGAACACATCTGTCATAAGACCGAGAACATCAGAGGCAAGCAGCTCAATGCATGCCCATATGTTCACAGGTAGCTGGGTCAGAGCCCAGGTGAGGAAGATGTGAAGCCATGTATGGTGGTCCTCCCCAGATATGCCCATCAACACTCACACAAGTGAACTGTTGCATACACAGCCCTCATCACTACCCCTTGTCATGAGAGAGCACTGTACTAAGAGTCATCAGGGATTACTGTGCAGGGAACTGTCATCCCTGTGGGTCCTGGCCTCACTGTCTCCAGCTGCTTGGAAGGGTCAGTTCATGGTATGCCATGGTGTAGACACTTGGTTCAGTGATCTGCTGCTGTTACCTGGGTGAGCAAGGAGCCCTTTGTTCTTAATTGGCCCTGGGCCTTGCAAATCAGATTAGTGGTCCTGCCTGTTGCTAAGAGACGTGAACTAGAAGAGAGTCGTGAAGATTTGGTACTGTCTCCTAATAAGCATTTGGAAGTAAATATGGAGATACTTTTTAAAGGTCATTACAAGCTGGGGTTGCATTTAGTGGGCAGGACCGGAGAGAAGAAAGACTTGGCACAGGCAGAGGGTGGTCCCACGCAAAGAACAGCTTGCTTAACGTAACAGTAATGTGTCTCTGAGAACCGGTCGCCATGGTCTCAGGCAGCACAGTAGGAACTGTGGCATTTTCTCCAAGACCTTGAGCTTGGCCACTACTCTCCCCACTCCTCTCGATGAGTTGAGATCTCCAGCTCATCGTGTCTCTCCCCTCAGTATCTCTCGCCCACCCTGCCACATTCGCGTGTCCTGGACCAGGTGTTAGTGTTCCCTGACGTTTCTTTTCTGATGGAGGGCTTGTGTTTATGAGTCTGACCAGAACTGGTTGAACATGTTGAGGGGGTGGGGGTCAGGGACTTCCAGCAGAGAAGGAATTGGCCTCACTGGCTATACCACCCTGCATGCTGATCACAGCATGCTCTACAGCGCCCCCAGCCTCCAGATTTTGGGTTTTGGGAAGGCCTCACCTGGATCTTGTGGCAGAAAGGATTTCCAGATAGGAGAATCAGGTTAGGATTGCTAAATCTGTGACTTTTCTCTAGATCTTGCTCAGCTTCATCTCTCTGCCTGTAGCCTGCAGGATGGGACTTGTCTGTCTCTCTCCCTTAGGAGTGTTTTTCCTCTGACTTTGGTCTGGTCCTTTTTTTCCCTTTTTCCCAGTACGGGGCTGTGTATGCAGCAGTTGACTTGTATGAGTGTTGAGATTAGCTCACCTCATAAAGGCCAATGTTGCTGCTCTCTGGGGGCTGGCTGGGGACACTGCGAATGTCTGATGTGCTCCTGGTAGCCAGACTTGATCTACTGCCCTGGGCCACCTGAGGACAGAGGTCAAAACAAGAATCAGAACATATTCTGGGGCCAAAGTCCTGGGCTGAGGCTGAGTTCTGTGGGTGGGTAAAAGAAAGGAGAAGGAAAAGGAATCTGCGGGCAAGTGGAAATGGTACCCAGCACACCACACTTTACAGTTTACAAGACAAACATTCATTTTCTAGTGGGACCTTCACACCAGCCCAAGACAGGACTGTCACCCTATTGCATCGATGAGGTCCCTGATTCTCAAGGATGAAGCCGGAGCAGAAGCTAAGTTTCTCACACAGGATCTGGGGACACACTGGCTCAGGGAAGGGACAGGTGGCTCCTGGCTCCCTGCTTTCCTGACCTTCCGAGAGCTGCCCCCTGGTGGGTGAAGGAAGGTAACATCTTCCAGAGTCAGGATGATCTTGTTGGGGCCGGAGACCATTTGCATGTGTAGCAGCCTGTGCCTGGTGTGGGGAGGTGGTCATCCCCACAAATTCCATAAGAGGCCAGCAGGGGATAGAGCAGAGGGGTGATGTTAGCTGGGGAAGTGTACTGGAATATAGCAATTCCCCAAACGTGCTCTGGAATTCTGCCAGCTCCCTGGATCCTTATGTCCCTCCCAAGGCGACTTCCCCATCTTGTGGACACCTCACCTCCTGTCTTTATGGCACAACTTTACTTCCCTACTCACCTCAGGTAATGAGCCAGGAAGGCTCCGGTCAGTCCCACCCCGATCACCAGGAGGAAGCCAATGAAGACCAGGCCTGGCTCCACTCCTAAAGGGACAAAGAGAGGGGCCCTTGGTCTTGGAAGGGAAGGACCCCTTAAGGGAGGGGTGATGTTCAATCAAGTCATGCCGAATCTAAGAAATGGGCTTGGGAGCTGGGTAAAAGCTCACAGATTCCTCAAAGGGGGAATCTGGAGATGCTACAAGGGTCCTCAAGGGTTTTGGAAATCCTTGAGAGGGGTCCTGAGCAAGCCATGGGCTGAAGGAGGACCTGGGAGAATAACAGGAGTTCCCTCTCTCTCACAACGTTGTGAATTGTCCACTCTGACTGTTTCAGTGGGAGCCTGCAGGGGCTCCCCTCACCTCCGTTGCAGATCACATCTGGATCAAACCAGCAGGAAGGATCTGGCCCAGGCGCAGGTCCACCTCGAGGGAAGTGCACAGGGGGCCCAGCGGGGCGTATAGAGCCTCGGATAGGATCCAGCAGATGTGTGGTGAAGAGCCGATCTCCTGACGCATCTGTGTCCAGCAGCACAAAGGAGGGCTCCTCGGTTCTTCCCAGGACCCCGCAAAAGCCAGAGACTTGGGCTTCCTGAACTTGGCGGGCCACAGATGCACCGGACACCCAGCCACCACCCACAGCTTCTCTGGCTCTTGTCACTCCCCCAGCCAACAGGAAGACAGCATCATAGATGGTTCCAAACAGTGGAGAGACCTAGAGGAGAGGAGAGTGAGGACTCAGGGCCTGGACTTAGAGCCCATGAACCGGTGAGAATTCACCGGACTGCCTGTTCCTTCATCGAGCCCCACTACCTCCGAGGGTTCCTATCTCCTGGGTGAAGGCTCCCCACCCTCCCCATTGTCTGTTGGCACTGATCGTACCTCCTTTCAGGAATTAGGTCCTTATCTCATCATGACTGAGACTCTCCATAGCCTAGACTTTTTCATAGTTTTTTGCCTGGCTTATACCTGTAATCTATCTCATCACCTACCATTCATCTAAGGCTCCCCATCCTTTGCTCATGTCTTCTTGTTGTTTATTTATTGCTGAGGTTGACCTTAAACTCATTCTATAGCCTAGGCGGATGTTGGATCTATCTTGATTCCTGCCTTCCTCACTCTTTCCCACTCTCTTTCTGTCTGTCTGTCTGTCTCTCTCTCTCTCTCTTTCTTTTAAATTTTGCCTGCATGTATGTCTGTGTGAAGGTGTCAGATCCTGGAGTTAGAGACAGGTGTGAGTTGCCATGTGGGTGCTGGGAATTGAACCTGGGTCCTCTGGAAGAGCAGTCAGTGCTCTTAACCACTGAGCCATCTCTCCAGCCCCCTACTTTCTTTCTTTGTGTTATAAAGCCCAGACAGGGGCTGGAGAGATGGCTCAGAGGTTAAGAGCACTGCTAGCACTGCTTGCTCTTCCAAAGGTCCTGAGTTCAATTCCCAGCAACCACATGGTGGCTTCCAACCATCTGTAATGAGATCTGGTGCCCTCTTCTGGCCTGCAGGGATATGTGCAGACAGAACACTGTATACATAATAAATAAATAAATCTTTAAAAAAAAAAAAAAATAAAAAAATAAAGCCCAGACAGGCCTGGAAATGACAGCCTTGAACTTCTGACCCTCCAATGTCAGTAGACAGTGGTACGTCCCCAGCCAGATGTTGAATTTTTGATCCTCCTGCTTCTGCCTTTTAAGTAGCTGGATTTCTTGCCCACATTAGCAGGCCTAGCTTGGTGTCAGTGTTTCTTCCATCCCCTCCCCAAAGAGGCACTACCACTGCTACCTCTCCTCACCACTGTTCCCAGTTCCTGTTTCTTGGGATGGCAGACGCCATGGACACTAGTGACACTGTGGTGTGTGGGACAGTCCTCTGCCAGGAGCAAACTTTAGGGGGAGAGACAAGAATGTTAAGGAAGTGTAGTAGTGAAGGCAGGGGAAGTGAGAGGGCTTTGGGGACGAGGGGGAGGGAGGAGGAGGTGGAAGGTTCCGGAAGTAGTGACCACCCCCTCGGTCATGAATCAGAATTATCTAGGGGAGAATGGGGTAGAAGAGAGACAATAGAGAAGGACACGTTTAGGGAACCTAAAGTGGCTTAGTCCGACAGAAGGTCATGGAAGATGTAAGAGAAATAAGACTCAGTCCTGGTAGGCCATGTGAGGAGACCTCCATCTATACAGGGTAATGAAGGTTCCCCAACTCAGGATGCAGGAAACCATCCAGAAACTACCAGGAGGCCTTGAACCATGTCTTGGAATTGTAGAGCATATCTGTTTCTGAAGCTGGATCTCGTTTGTTGATGGAGAGAAGCCCGGGGTCACATGAGAGTTGAGAGATTCTAGACTTGGGCCCAGAAATGCTGTGGCCTGAGTCAGGGTAGTGTCAGTGAGGGAGGAGAGTATGAATGGAGTCTAATGACCTTCAGGAAGAACAGTAAGAGGGCTTCAGGCCTGGTTTGTGGGGGACAAAGAGGAGAGCCCGGTCTCCAGCGTGGTCAGCTGGCCGCACCACTCATGACAGCGAATGAAAGCATCCTTCCTCCTTCCCATTCCCTCTTTCTCCACGGACTGACAGACCCCCCCCCCCCACCTCAGCTCACTCTTTATCGATTATTCCCATTCTTTCTTCTTTTCTACCCCAAATATCTTCTTGGAGAAGGCTAGAGGCATTGGTGGGGAAGAGTTCATCGTGCCTCCCGACCCCACTCCCCACCTTAACCTTCTCTAAGTGGTCTCTTTTGAGTATGGGTATGGCTATTTATTTTGGGAAACTGAACCTGAGGCCTTGCACAGTTCTGGCAAGTATCCTCCAATGTGCTGTGTAGCCATCTCTCGTTTTTGAGACAGGCCCCTAAGTTGACCAGACTTGCCTTGAATTTGCTCTATAGCCCAGGAAGGCCCTGAACTTGCTCTCCTCCTTCTTCAGCCTTCTGAGTATCTGAGACGACAAACCCATGTCACCAGGCCTGGAGTGAGTATGGCCTTCTTGACAACTAATTTTCTCCCCACTGATCTCTACCTCAGTAGTGTCTAGACTCCCTTTGTGACTGAGAAGGAATTAGATGGTCTGAACTGGGATCCTGGGGATCAAGGAATTCTGATTACTACCTAGATGTTGGAAACGGTCTTTGGTTCTGGTTATGGGACACTCCCCCCTCCCCCGACGTAGTTAAGAACACCGGTGTGACCAGAGAACAAAGTCGGGGCCCCAGAGGAAATGTCTCTGAACTAGGTAGGTGTGAAGGTTGCATCTGCATCCCCTCTCTTTCCCAGAACACCAGCTGCTTGTTACATATGTTCTTGAGGTGCTGGGATAAGTCTGCTTTGAAGCAATCTAAAAATGATGTGGCAATTTAGGATTTACTCCTTGGAGCTGGATTTGCGAGGTCTCACTGCCTACTTTCGGGGGTAATCTTAATAATGAGGATTATTATTAATGAGGTAATCGTAGTAATGAGGATGCTGTAAGCAATGCCAGAACTTCTACAGCACCCAGGAAATTCCAGATCAGCTGTGGCTACTACGGTTCACTTCCCATTGGCTCCACCCTCCCTTTCCCACTGGCTTCATCAAACTCATTCCCACTGGCTCCACCCTCCCTTTCCCATTGGCTCCACCCTCCCTTTCCCACTGGCTTCATCAAACTCATTCCCACTGGCTCCACCCTCCCTTCCCCATTGACTCCACCTCCCCTTTCCTATTGGCTTCATTTTCCTCTTTCCCAACTGTCTCCACCAGCCCCTTTCCCATTTCCCTCCCACCTCTTCCTACTGGTTCCATCCTTCCCTCCTCCTCTGCTCTCTGCTCACTTCCCTGGCTCTCCTTCCTCTTCTCTATCCATTAGTCCGTCTACCTGCTGCAGGTCGAGGTCAGCGGGCAGCTCCTGGTGCTCTTGGGCCCTGCGCAGGCTGTCCTGCACGCTGCCTCCCGGAGGACAGTGGCGCGTGAGTGTGAGCACCGCATCGTGAGCTCTGCGAAGCTGGGAGCTGTTGACCAGAGCAGCCAGAGCCTCCCGGCCTGGAGACAGCGCGTAGTGAAGCGTGTCGAAGGGCAGGAAGACCAGAGAGCCATCAGCTAGGCCCAGCTCTTCTGCAGCTTCCAGTAGGTAGCGCTGCTCCTCGCCGCCCAGCAGCACCGAGTGCATCACCATGATCACTACTGCGGACACAAAGGCTGGCTCGCTGCGCTTGCCCGTGTCGCCCGCTGTCCGCAGGACCCGCCCGTCTCCCCGCACTCTACAACCGGAGCCTACCTCTAACTCTAGGCCCGTCCCGGATCCTCCGGAGGGCCTTCCGAGCTCCAGACAGGTCTGAGGGCTGCATGGAGGTCACTAGGGCAACTGGCAAGCCCCGCGCCCTGAGTGCTGTGGACAGAGCACGTCCCGCCTCCACCCACAGGTCCTGGGGCGCGGTGATCAGGGCCACGCGCGCCCAGCGGAATGCTCTAAGGAGGGCGTAGAGGGCATCTGCAGCGGGGGTCACCGCCGGGGCTGTAGTACCCGCCGCCCGCGTGCCTGGGCAGCCCCAGGGCACGAGAGCTACTCCAGCCTCCTGGGCTAGCAGTTCGGCTGGCCGGCAGGCTGCGGGGTTCACCGGACCCACCAGGCCAGAGACTCGAGCCAGCGCGGAGGACACAGCCCCTAGAGAGCCCGGGGTCAGGCAAGGCTCTGGGAGCAGCGCGACCTCGAACCGGGGGCCGCCGTCTAGGGCAAGGTCACGGTTCAGGCGGTTAGCGGCCAGACGCGCAGCCAGATCAGGACGGGCCCGGGCGAAGATGGGGTCGCAAGCCCAGGGGCCCAGGACCCCCACTTTGAACACGGCCGAGAGGGCAGCAGGCGGCGGGAGCAGCAGCAGGAGCAGGAGTCCGCGCAGCCGAGGCCCTGGCCAGCACAGGACCCGCGAAAGGCTGGACCAGGACTGCCACGCAGGGACGCAGAAGCCGGCGTCGGGAAGCCCACCCGCTGGCAGGAGCCACGCGGTCATTGCCCTCTTCTGTGAACACAGAGGGAGCAAGCGGAGTTGAGACCCCCACCACTCCCTTAGGGGTCTCCTCTCAAGTCGGTTTTCAAATCCCTGCCGACCCCAAGGGTGTCTCGGCTTCCACACACTTGGACCCTAGATGGGGACAGCGCACTGCCCCAAGGCCTCTTTGGCCTGACCTGCTTGTCCCCGTTTGTTTATCCCCCGCTCCCTGGGTCAGCAGCCTCAGGTTCGGTGGGGATACTCCCACGCCCTCACACAGGACCCGAGTCCACGGAGTGGGTCATTTACTACTTACCGGGAAGTCTCGGGCTGGGACCTGGCTAAGGGGTCACAGGTCGATGCCCCTTCAGTCTCCCCTGGCAGCCCAGCCCAGGGCGGGGGTGTGGGAACAGCCCTCTGCAGCCCCTAATCTCACCAAGCCGATTAGGATCTTTTAATCAAGCAGAGAGGGGCGGGCTGATGGAGGATGATAGTCCCTCCTGTTCTCTTGGGTAAGATCTGTGCCGCCTCCAGACAGACAGGCAGAGCTGCTTAGCTGAACACACACGGAGGTAAAGTGATAGAATCAGGTCCGTACCGCGTGCAAAATGTCAGGTTTTAGATTTACACGTGGAAATTAAAACTTTATTTATTTTTCAGTTGTCTCTGCAAAAATTGAATCAGGTAAGAATCATCCTTGGAGCTGGGCGGTGGTGGCACACACCTTAAATCCCGGCGCTCTGGAGGTGGAAGCAGGTGAATCTCTTGAGTTCAGGGCCACACTGGTCTACAGAGTGAGTTTCAGGAGTTACACAGAGAAACCCTATCTCGAAAAACCAAAAAGAATAAAAAATAAAAAAAGAATCATCCACGGATACTAAAGCTAGGTGGAAAATTTGAGGACCATCAGGATGTTTTGTTTTCCATGATTATAAACCATCACTCCATTTACTACTTATAGGTTGGGAGACAGCAAACATATAATTGCTTCAATTTTAATTGTAAAAAAATATTTATATCTGGGTGTAATGGCCTTTAATCCCAGCACAAGGAAGCAGAGGTGGATCTTTGTGTGAAGTCAGTCTGCTCTACCTAGAGAGTTCCAGGACAACCAGGGCTACAATAGACCCTGTATCAAAACAATTGTTTTATTTTATATGTATGTGTGTGTGCCTGAGTCTATGTATGTGAACTACATGTGTGCAGGGGCCGATGGAGGTCAGAAGAGGCATCAGAACCCCTAGAACAGGAGTTACACACGATTGTGAGCCACCACGTGGGTGCTGGGGACTGACCAATATGTAAGGTTTTGAACTGCTGAGTGATCTTTCCAGGCTTGTAACTGATGCAGTCCCTCCCCACTCCTTGGTTGGTGGTATCCAGTCTACAGGTACAGGATGTTCATTTGCCCCTTCACTGTGTAGTTCATATTAAAGTGTCCTATTTCATCTCTCGCATAATTACTCTCTCTTCCTGTCACCCTCTCCTCCCAACTCATATGCAATCTTTAGGGAAAAACTTTAAACCAGTAGAATTATTAAAATCCTGTAAGGAGCCTGGCGGTGGCGGTGTCTCACGCCTTTAATCCCAGCACTCGGGAGGCGGAGGCAGGTGAATCTCTGTTAGTTCAAGTCCAGCCTGGTCTACAGAGTGAGTTCCAAGACAGCCAGGGCTGTTGTTACCCAGAGAAACCCTGTCTTGGAAAAAAAAAATGCTACAAGAATGCTCCAGCATCAGTCAAGTGTAGTGGGAGCCTGTAATCTCAGGAGGTGGGGTGAGAGGTTGGTGGGGTGAGAGTTTGGTGACACTGAGGCCAGTTTGGCTACATAGTAAAGTCACGTCTTGGGCCAAATAAAAGAACACACTCGAGATGGTTCATGAAAAATGACTCATTTGGTGATCCTCTGGCTTCCACGTGCATACACACACACACACACACACACACACACACACACACACACACACAGAGAGAGAGAGAGAGAGAGAGAGAGAGAGAGAGAGAGAGAGAACTGGCCACTGGCACAACTGGAATATGAGTGGGCAATTTGGTAAGTTACCACTGTAAATTCATGAAGTTAATAACTGTACTACAGTTATACTAAGGAATGTTCGACCAGGTATGATGGTGCACGCCTTTAATCCCAACACTCGAGAGGAAGAGGTAGGCAGATCTCTGTGAGTTTGAGGCCAGCCTGGTCTACATGAGTCCCTGGCCGGTCAAGCTGCAAAGTGAGACCCTGTCTCAAAAAAACAAAAACAAAAACCCATAAAACTTCCAAGTCATAAGAAATATACATTGAACTATTTAGTGACAAAGCGTTGTGATGTATTTAACTGACCCTCAAAAATTTCACAATGTGCCGGGCGGTGGTGGCGCATGCCTTTAGATCCCAGCACTCGGGAGGCAGAGCCAGGCGGATCTCTGTGAGTTCGAGGCCAGCCTGGGCTACCAAGTGAGTCCCAGGAAAGGCACAAAGCTACACAGAGAAACCCTGTCTCGAAAAACCAAAAAAAAAAAAAATTTTCACAATGTATTATATATGACATATAAGTATGTTGCATATATTAGATATTCCAAATAATAAAGACAATTATAACTGTGGGTGAATCTGGGGGCCAGGGAGATGGCTCAGGGGATAGAGTCCTTGCTATGTAAACGTGAGTTTGGATTTCACCTGTAAAAAAAGATAGACACAGCACAATACATCTATAACCCAGTGCCTGGGGAGCAGAGACAGGGGGATTCTGGGGTTCTCTGGCTGCCAGTCTAGCTGAAACAATGAACTCCAGGCTTAGTGAGAGACTCTGAAATGACAGTTTAGTGGGTTACAATGCTCTCAGCCAAACCTGACCAACTGAATTTAATTCCTGGGATCCACATGACAGGAGAGAATTCACTCCAGCAAGTTATTCTTTGACCTACACACAACTCCCCCCCACACACACACACACTGTGGTATACTTACACTCACAAAATCAATAAAAAATATAATAAAAATAAATATTAATGGGGTTAGAGAACACTTGCTGCCTTCCAGAGGACCTAGGTTTGATTCCCAGCACCTACGTGGCAGCTTACAACGTTCTGTAACTCCAGTTCCTGAAGATCCAATGCCCTTTTCTGGCCTCCGAAGGCTGGTGCATAGATGTACATGCAGGCAAAACATCCATACACATAAAATTAAAATAAGATTAAGCCCAGCAGTGGTAGTGCATGCCTTTAATCCCAGCACTTGGGAGGAGGCAGAGACAGGTGGATCTCTGTGAGTTCGAGGCCAGCCTAGTCTACAGAGTGAGTTCCAGGAGAGCCAGGGCTACGTAGTGAAACTCTATTTCAAAAAACCCAAAAATAAATAAGATTAAAAAATAACAGGGGTGCAGCCCATGTACTAAAACTGGAATGATACAGAAAGGATTAGCCTTTCCACAGGATGATGACACACACACTCCGGAAGTTTTGGCAATTTTGTCCTCCAGAGAAGTTAGAGAGGCTACACCCATCAAGTCTCATCAACATGGCTGCCTAGCGAAGATTTGAATAAGGACACCAGTGGACATTCTAAGATGGATGGGGCAAGTTCAAGGGTCTCATCCCTACATGAAGAACTACGGGCCACAGGGTGGGGTGGGGGTTAAGAGCAGAGGAAACGGTCTCCCAGGGAAGAGCCCTCCAACTGGCTATCTGATACCAAGTGGTCCGCCCTGAGGTCATATACACACAGGCAACAGTATACAGACTGAGGTTATGTTCATACATTTAGGGATGTATATATAAACAATTAAAAAGAGGCCATGAATTGGAGAGAGCAAGGAGGGGGCATGGGAGAGGTTGGAGGGAGGAACAAGAAGGGGGAAATGATGTACTTACGTTATAATTTCAAAACAATGAGGTGGAGAGAGATAGAGAAATACACTGATATCAATCTCTGGGCACGCATAGACCGGTGTGCCCAAGTACACATGAGCACATGTGTGCATACTCCACAAACACACACACACTCTGAAAAACATAGGTGAATCGGGGTAGAGAGCATGAATAAGTTCTTTGTTATTTTGTAGTGTTTCATAAGTTTGGAGTTATTTCTGAATAAAAGGTTAATAGAAAATGCTAAAAAAAGTATGTCTTTATCAGCTCAGAATAAAAAAAAGATTTATTAAAGAAGATATATAAAGTCCAAATTATACAGTTAAAGATGAATATGTTTTTAAAATGCCTAGCTCTAAGCCAGAGAATACAGCAAAGAAAACATGAGCCCCTGACTAGAAAATCTTCACAGACACAAGCAAATTGCCAGGGGTGCAGCTCAGGTGATGGGGAGCTTGCCCAGCATGCACATAGCCCTGGGTTCAGTCCCCAGCACCAATAAATTAGAGCATGGTAGGACACATCTGTAATCCCAGCACTTGGGAGTAGAGGCAAGAGGCTCAGGAGTTTAAAGTCATCCTGGACTACATAGTGAGTTCAAGGCCAGCCTGGGATTCATGAGACACTGTCATAAATAAATAAATAAATAAATAAATAAATAAATAAATAAATAAAAATGACAAAGAGAAAAACCAACTAACAAAAGTTGATATCTGTATATCTCTCCTCATCTACATCTCTACTCATCCAATTCTATCTATACCCACATAAAAGGTAAACATTCTAGTATTAAAATGGACAAAGGATATTGGTAGGCACATCCATGGAAAAGCTTAAGAGAAAATGCTCAACCTCTCTAATAACCAAAATGAGAAATAAAACAAGACAGTGACGCACCATTCACACCTGCCAGACTGGCAAAAATACTAGTGTGACAATGCCGATCTGCTGAAACATGAACCTGTATTGGCTGGTGATGGTATCACTTGGGTCAGTTTACAGTGGTGGACATGGCAAGCCCATTTTCCGGTGTCTTCCCACGACAGTTAATTTGATGAGATTAAAAATCACTGCAGAAACACACCTGAGGGTGAGTCTGTGAGGAAGTTTCTAAAACAATTTAATGGAGGAAGGAAAACCCACCCTGAATGTGGGTGGCAACATTCCTTGTGCTGAAGTTCTTGTACTGAGTATTGGAAAGGGGACTGAGCACCAAATTCAAGTCTCTGCTTCTGATCGCTGAAGGTGGGACCAGCCACCTTGCGTTCCTGTTGCCACGTCTTCCTCAGCAGGGTGGACGGTGACCTTAAACTGTTAGCCAAAACAAATGCCTCCTAAGAGAAGAAACCAGCGCCTTCAGCAGGAGAAGTAACTTCTATTTGTGGATGAGCAGACTTGTACAAGCATTCATTTATTTATTCATCAAAAATACAGTTACTGGAGCTGGAGAAATGGCTCACACTTAAGAGCACTTGTTCTCCCAGAGGACCTGGGTTCAATTCCCAGCACCCACATGGCAGCTCATAACTGTCTGTAACTCTAGTCCAGGGGATCCAACACACAACCTTCTGGCATCATTGGGCGCCTGAAGCACATACCCACACACAGAAGCACAGACATACACTACTCAAAAAATAAAATCTTTAGTTGGGCATGGTGCTACATGTCTTTAGTCCCAGCATCCATGAGGCAGAGGCAGGCAGATCTATGTGAGTTCGATGCCAGCCTTGTCTACAGAGCTAGTTCCAGGCCAGCCAGGGATACACAGAGAAACCCTGTCTAAAATAAACCAAAAAAAAAAAAAAAAAAAAAAAAAAAAAAAAAAAAAATCAAGCCGGGCGGTGGTGGCGCACGCCTTTAATCCCAGCACTCGGGAGGCAGAGCCAGGCGTATCTCTGTGAGTTCGAGGCCAGCCTGGGCTACCAAGTGAGTTCCAGGAAAGGCGCAAAGCTACACAGAGAAACCCTGTCTCAAAAAACAAAAAACAAACAAACAAACAAACAAAAAAATCAAATCTTAAAAAAAAAAAAAGTTACTGGACTTCTTCTGTGCATTAAGCACTATTCTCGGCTCTGGAAACACAGCAGTGAATTAAGACTTTCGAGTTCCTGTCCTTGTGGGGCTCACATTCTACTGAGGACAGAAGACAATATACAAGCCCAAAGGGTGGGCTATTTAGCATGCTCAGAAAAACATGAAAATCTGTCACAATTTGGTGGAAGGTGATTATTCCTTATTAACTGTGTTCTGCATGAGCTGGTCCAAGGAACCTGATCTCCAGGCAAACTTTATTTATTAACATACAAATAAAATATCACATTTCAGCACAAATAAAATATCACCACAATCCATCTCTCCAGCCCCTGTTATTGTTTTTACTCTTTGGATTCTTTGCTCCTTTGGGGGTCCACCACCCAGCTCCCAAATAAGTACACATGGAGGCTTATTCTTACTTATAAATGCCCGGCCTTAGCTTGGCTTGTTTCTTGCCAGCTGTTCTTAACTTAAATTATCCCATCTATCTTTTGCCTCTGATTTTTTCCTTTCCTTACTTCTGTAATCTTACTTTCACTTTTACTCTGTGGCTGCTGTGTGGCTGTGTGGCTGGCTGTGTGGCTGGCTGTGTGGCTGGCTGTGTGGCTGGCTGTGTGGCTGGCTGTGTGGCTGTGTGGCTGGCCCCTTCTTTTCTCCCTCCTTGATCTCTCTTGCTCTTGCTCCTTCCTCTACTCCCAGATTTCTCCTTTTATTTATTCTCTCTACCTACCAGTCCCACCTGTTTCTCTGTCCTACCTCACTATTGGCCATTCAGCTCTTTATTAGAACAATCAGATGTTTTAGACAGGCACAGTAACAAAAATTTTGTTTGACAGCTTCACAGAGTTAAACAAATGCAACATAAAAGAATGCAACACATCTTTGCATCATTAAGCAAATGTTCCACAGCATAAACAAATGTAACACATCTTAAAATAATATTCTATAACACCTTACAATTATTTTTAAATCACAAATGAATTATGTTCACTTAGATAGTCTGCTATTTCTTGCCTCTCACAAAGGTGGTCTGCCCCCATCTCCCTTGTCTGGC